TAAATATCTAAATTTAAGTCCTGCAATCTTAATTTTTGCTTTAAATTTCATTCACCAGTTTCAGAAGAAGTTCTCTTTAAGTTGTTTTTCTTGTGCATGTATGTTCCATTTATTAAACGCCTACCACTATTGATGGAAAAAAAAAAAAAAAAGTTCCAGTATTCATTATGGGTTTCAAAAATGGAATGGTGGATATTCATGGAATCTGTTGTAATTAAAGAATAGGCATTACTTTTTTTTTTTTTTTTTTAAACCAACTTTGTATGTTAACCTTCCCTACAAGAACTTATAAATTCTATTTTCCAATCAGCTTAAGCATAAAATGAAAAGTTCAGTTTGCACTAAGAGTTTTGCTTTGTACCAGAAAGACCTGTTGCAAGTTATAAAAAGTAATTCCTATTTATTTTAAGAACAGCCATGAGAGGCCTCATTTGATATCCTGATTTTATTTCTATTGCAGTAAAACAACCTTTTTTCAAGAGCTTATCCAAGCTCCATTGCCCCTTTTTTGAGATCTTCAACCTTCCATGTTGAATTGTCATCTCAGTAGTTAAACCAATATACTTGACAGAAATTTGAGTAAACTTCCTCTCCTCAGATTTTAAAGTTCATCCCTTGGAGTTAAGTGTCTCAAGTTTTAACATCCATTTGTTGCTCTAGGCAGCTAAGGAATTTAAGTCATTTTGAAATAAAGCAAAATGTTGAAGGTTTCTAATCCTGAAATAAAGCTTATTATCATCATCAAACAGATTAGCTGTAGATGTTACAATAATAAGGATGTCATTGACAAATAAGATGAACCTTGCCAAACTCCACTGATAACATTAGTCTAGGTACCCCCATGAGATCACAAAAAAAAAGAGCATAGCATGATAAAAACAAAATTTTATTGTCTAAATTTTTATGTTATTATTAAGAGGAAAGATTAAAGTATTTTGTGGGTGCTTTTTTTTTTTTACATTTTTTAATCATTCCTAGCACATTTTTTTTATCAGAAGTGTACATAAAATACTAAAATTTTATGTACATTTATTACATTTTACTGTGTTATTTCTATTTCCATTCATTTTATTAGTAATTTTGATATTTTATTTAAAGAAAAATGTCATAACTGAGGCTAATATAAAAATAAGATCATATAAATTTCATATGATGATACTAATACTTGTAGGTACCCTTTTCAGTTGAAATTGAAAAATCAAATTAACTTCTCCATGCATGTTTCACAAAAATAAAGGGCCTAACAGCGGAGAACAATGCTTAACTCAAATAACATGACTTAATTGTAATCTTACTGGTCTTCCGAACTTTTTAATGACAGTGGTTTTATAGACACAAAATTACATTTCTTAATTAGTGCGGGTCTTCTGAAGTGATACAAATTACAATGGTGTAAAAAAGATATATTTCATACGGCCATTTATGAAACTGAATGCCGTTTTCACTAATTTTATAATATTTTAAGAACTTAAATGTAAAAATCTAAAATAATTAAAGAAATAACAAATGATTGTATTAAAAATTCATTTTTCATCGAAAAAGTTTTTTGCTTTTAGAAAATATTGTCCATATTCATAAAAGCAAATAAAAGCATTTGAAGTGAAATAATATCTTTGTTTTATTGAGTTTTGTATGTTACAATTTTGAGCTGATTTTCAGGAAGTGGGTCCAATTAAAAAAAAAAAAATACTTTCCTCAAAGCCTAATATAATCACTAAACTGAATGCTATTGAATTTCTAGAGTTTTCATAAAATTAGTTATGGTGTGTATGTGTGTGGGGGGGGAATAAATATATAAAAAAAAAAAATTGCCATGACTTTAAAAAAGAAAACATATTTATAATAATTTCCATCATTTGTGAATAGTTTCTGCAAGTTTCATAAACATCCGACAATTATTTTTTACTTTTGCAAGATTTTCCAAATTAATGTCTGTCATACAACAAAAAAAAAAAAAAAAAAACGTGCTAAAAATTTATATATTATTAAATTATTTTAATAGTTCCTGTGATATAAAGAGAAACAAGTTTTTTTTAATCTAAAGTTAGAATGTTCTAAAAAGAAGGAAAAATTTAAAAAAATATTTCGGTCTTTCCTCTTCTAATAACAAACATGTAGACGATAAAATTTTGTTTTCGTCAAGTTTGGTGTCTTTTTCATCAGACTCATGCTTTTTTTTTTTTTTTTTTTTAGCAATCTCATAAAGGTATAAATGTTTCAAAATGAAAAATTTTTTCTTGAATATTTTATTTTAGTTTTGATTTGAAACTAATACATTAGATTTAATATTTCCAATAAGTAAAATACTTTGCTGTATTTGAAAAGCTAAATTTTAAATTGACTGAAGTGGAAGTTTTTTGTTTTGTTTTGTTGATTATCTGTTTTTTGTTTTTGTTGATTATCTGAATTGGAAGTTTTTTGTAATGTTTTGCTGATTATCGCCCCTGTTTAGTCGTCTTTCACCGTATTGTAACTCTCTACATTAAAAATAAAATCTGCCAAAAATATATTTTTCTGAAATTTTATTTCAGGAATATTAAACTGATTTAAAACAAATATTTACTTTTTAAATTAGTTAATTACTGAACTTATGACTTCTTCCATAAATGACCGTTTGCCACTGCTGTCCATGTTAAATAATTTTAAAAAAAAGTAACGACAATAACAATTGAATAAATGAAGAAATTTTGAATTTTTTTATTAAGTAATTTCACTAAACGTTTATGAGTCAAGTTTTCATCGGAAATTCTATGTTAAAATTGTAAATTCTTTCAAAGAACAAAAAAGAGACACTGTTTCTTCTTGCGTACTGCTCATCCTAATTAGTCTCCGAAGTATAAATTAATTGAACTCATAAGAATTTTTTTGTTGTACTAATGTTGAAATAGAAGGATCTTTTTAACTCGTGAAGAAAAAGATACCAAGTTGATCATCTTTAGAAACTCATAATTTCTTGGAATAATTTCAGGTCTTTTTGCGAAAGCGAAATATGACTTAGTGTTTTCATCACAGAGAAGTGAATTAAATAATTCCAATCTACAAACGGCCTAAAAAATTAATTTTACATTAAGGATTGAAATAAAGACTTGAAGCCTTCTCTTAACTCGCATTTCAAAAGTGGATACTGTTTAGTTTACATTCAAGTAGGCAGGATTTTTTTATATGAGAGGTGTTGAATAATGATCAGCCTGACCTACCTCCGAAAATCAGATCAAATCAAGATAATTATTTTTTGGAATGAATCCTTGTAACCAAAAAAAAAAAAAAAAAAAAAAAATTTCTTAAAGTTTTAACTAACTTAATCTTACACAATTAAAAAAAAAAGTAAAATTCACACAGTAACTCACTGTGTAAGTGTAGTAGTGTAAGTGTAACTGTACTATCTCCTCTCCTGTATTTTTTTTTTTTTTTTTAAATGTACATATTTTCTAATTTATGAAAGCGTAATTCGGAACCAAAAACATTCGTGGTTTACTTTCATTCATTTGAAATGTTTTAAAAATTAATAAGTAATGTTGCTTTTTTTATGCAGTAATGGCTTCTGTCAGAAAAAAAAGCGATTTTTGGAATTAAGTTAAAAGTAAAAGTAAATTATCTTTTAATATTCCTACTCAAACTCGGATAATAAATAAAATTAAAACTGTTTTTTTCATCCATGTGAAATGAAGTAGCAATAAATAAATTTCCTTTATTAATGTTGCAACGTACGAAGAATTTAGTAAATATAGTAAGTCTAATTAAAAAGATATCGCCTTTAACTTACCTTCAACAAAAAGCATTTGTTCATCTGAATGAATATTTAAAGACGTCTTTTGCTACTTATGAAAATTGTTAAAACTTTTCGGTTGATACGTCAACATAAAAAAAAAAAGAAGCGGTGTTTCGCATCAAGAGTCCCTCCTAAGTCTTGTTGATACAGGTATTATTTATTAAGCAGTGCGCCCACCACGCAACCAAATGTGACACAAAGTCGGTTTAAAGTGGGTTTATCGGCAGTAACGTGAAAAAATTCAAAACCCATCTTGGCATTTACCCTTTTGGGAACGCCTCAGGCGCCGAGCAATAACACTATCGTTGATCAGTGGCAATTTTCCACCAAAGAATCAACGTATTCATTGCTTCTCTATTTCGTGGTCAGAAAAAAATGATAGCGACTGGTAATAAAGTCATCTATTTTATGTCGGGTACTTCACACGTTTATGAGTCCGCTCTGTTTGCAACCGAAATTCATAATAAATCGATCCAACCTCTAATAAACTGTTTTCTAACAATGCTGTTTATTTTCGTTTTCGGATCACAATTTAAATAACAGACTATTATACTGGGTTCTCGACCTTACTATGGTAGCCAGTCTAAAAAAGGACTACTCTGAATTCAAAATTGTAGAGAAAGTAATGGGAAACCGCTCCACTATCTTTCTCAAGAAGTCATAACAATTTAAATAAAAATGGAATTTCTAGATAACCATGATCATCTATGTCATGAATAGACTTGTACTAAAGTGAAGGACAATCCTAGACGCTCTAACAATCAAACCCAACCACTCACCAATCTCAATATAAACCCAGGAAAAGAGAGCTTCAATATCATTTCTCTTCCCTTTTGTCAGAAAGTGGGACAGGCAGGTGTTCTCTTCTAACCACCAAAGGACTTGTAGGAGAATGAAAATAAAATAATAATAAAAAAATAAAGAATTTCATTTTCCCATACATGGTTTCCAGTCATATGTGATTTTTATGACCTGACTTCCAGAAAGGAGATAATCATTCTCTTTTCACTTTCCAACCATTGAGTTCGGATGTGTTTATAGCAGTCATAATGAAAGGGAGATTTACTCAGCCTCTCAACATAAGGCTGATTTGAGGTTGACTATTTTCTGTACCTCCACATCTTGCATCTACATGCATAAATAAACATAAGTGAATATAAAAATCCTAACTGGAACTTGTCTCCTCGATTTCCAATTCTGAGCTGTCATCCATCCACCTGCACATCCAAGGTTACAGCATCTGGTATTCAAAAGTGGTCACCCATCTAGGTACTGACCATGATCAATGTTGCTTAACTTCAGTGATTGTATGGGAACTGGTGTCTCAATGTGATATGACCATAAGCCTATAAAAATTGAATTAAATAGAAATTGAAAGATGTTACAGATTTCAACCTTCAAATTAAATAGAAAACAAACAAATTAACAAAACAAATGTTATCTTACACATGCATGAGAACATTGGCTTTAGCACTATCTTCTATACAGCAACTTAGAATGTTGGCAACTTAGAGGCCATGTTTAAGGAGATGGAAAATAGTTTTTTTTTTTTTTTAATCATTACACTTTTCTTTGCACAACCTTTTATCTCAATGTATTTTGGCAGTTAATTCCTAAGTGGGTTTCTCTAGCAAACTTTGATTCCCTTTCTTTGGCATCAAGCAAACTGTTTTCTCATTGAATGATTTTTTGTTTCATTTTAGTCCTTGGAATTTTCTCAACACAATTTTGCATTTGAAAAATTTTCACTGCTTGTTCCAGCAGTCATCTTCATAACAAAACATTCATCAGGGCTTTGCAATCTCCACCATATATCTACATGACTATGTTTCAGTGCATCTTGCTATTCATTCAATCTCTAAGTGCTCCCAGCTGACAATTTTTTTGTCTCAATGTCAATCTCTAACTCCACTTAATGTACTCACTCAAAACAGGAAAATGCTACATAATAAACCTTTAATGCACTTACAATTTTACCATTTCACACACAAATAAATGAGCATACATGTGTAGCTAAAAATAATTTCACCCATAGGCATACAGTAGGAAATTTTACAAAGTTTGTGGTAGAAGAAATTAGCGCTGAAAATTTTTCTAAGTTGTCCTGAAAATAAGTAGCTTTTGTCATGGGAGGCACTTCACCTCATATGCCTATGTTTTTACCTAATTCCTTTAATATTTGAATATTACCTTCTTTCTTCCAATTTTGCATTACAGCACTTCTTTAATAAATTTTACTATTTATTTTTAACAAATTTGTGCAATTTTCTTTATTAAAATGTTAATAAAATATCATTGCATAGGTAGTTAAAAACAGTTGAGTCTTTTTGCTACGACAGTGTGACCCGGATATAAGAGAAACACAGATGTAAGAGAGATTTTTTCTGGTCCCAAATTAGAGCCCATACTTACCTAAACAAAATAGACCAAACCCGGATATAAGAGACTTCTTCTCCGTCCCGACAACTCTTATATCCAGGTTACACTGTAATACCATATGAAATTACTAACTCCAAATTGAACATTACAAAATATTAGCTTCTAATGTTGTGAAATGCTAATATTGTTTGTTTTGTGGTGTACATTCTATTCTGAATTCACATCCAAAAAAGAGAAAATTCTAAACTTTCTAAAGTTTGTAGAATTTAATTTTTTGTAGGCCTATGTTTTAAACGAAATGTGAAATTCAGTAATAAATCTTGTGTATTTAGAGTAGTGCATTCATTTTGATGATGTTTTCAATTTTTTTCAGGTGTCTGTCAAAAGTAAATAATCTGAGAATTTCAAGCTGAATCTTTCATTCAACCCAGAAGTGTAAATTATTGAGTTACCTTCTCTTTTACTACTAATAATCCTCTTTCAAAATGGCTGCCCTCTGGAAACACAGAAAGCAAAGAACTGTCATAGAATTTCTGTTTTGGGAAGAAGAGTGAAGTGCAAACATTTACAAGATGTTAGTGAATGTTTATGAAAAGACTGCAATTGATGTAAGCCCACTAAGGAGATGGTTCAGTTGAGTTAATGGTAATCCAAAAGTGAAAGGACAAGTTGGTTTTAGTGATAGACTTTGCACTAACAGACCAGTTGCTGCTATGAACAAGGATAACGCCATATAGCTGACTGAAAAATCACTGTTCAAAACTGAAAGTGTTCAGGTGAGCCATGGCCATGCTTTCAGTTTTGTATAAAATATTGGTTACTCAAAACTTTGTGCAAAGTGGATTCCCAGAGTGATGACAGACTCCATGAATGAAAAGAGAGTAGCTGCTGTCCAAGAGCTTCTAGGGCTGTACAGCATGGACAACATTCAGAAGACAATGGTTCACTGAGGTGAAAGAAGTAACTCATATATGGCTAAAAAGGCAAATAAGAAGCTTCTTATTTACTTTCTAATCTATTCTGCCTCCATTCAAAGGTGGAATACCACAACCTAGAAGAATGTTGATGACTAGCTTTAGAATCATTAGACATATATTCATTCTTGTATGATTTTTGTGCTTCTATTATTAAAACAGTTGTAATATTAAAGAACAGGCATTATTGTTTTACCAACCCTCATATATACTCAGCTGGGCTTAGTACTAAGTAAGGTTAAATAAGAACAGAAATGGGTTAAAAAGGTTGTCATTTAGACTTTTCAGGTGGGAAGAGCCTATATCGCCTTGAAAATCATCATTCAAACATCAATATATATTAAAACACACACAGCAAAAGTTTCCTGTGCTATAATAGTTACCATATACACTCACATATCATGCAACTTTTGAAGACACAATTTTGAAGCTAATTTTAAGTGTGTGTGTGTGTGGGGGTGTCTCATCATACATGAAATATAAAATTAGTGTATGTATTACTGGCCATTCACTGTAGTCAAAAAGTACAGCTGTATTTAAAATAAACATGATTTTGATAAAACTGATGTTTTACTTAACTGTATCCAATAATAATGCAGTTAATAGTCACATATTAGTATTATATTATAAAATACAAACAGCAAATACACATCTTTTCCATTGCTTATGCTTATAACATGTTTAGCTGTTTCTCATTCAGTTATGGCTGTATGCGTTCATGTAATGAGTATAGCATTACTGATAATACTTTTATCATCCTCTTTTACTATTTTTAACTTATTTAATATGGAATAAAGAAATAGAGGAAAAGAGGTTAGTATTTGTAATTTGATCTCCCAAAAAATGAATTTGCATAATACACAAGATACATAATAAAATCCTTTTTTATAGGTGTAAATTTGATGGTTGTACAATACATAAGATTGTGCATTATATGAGTATATCCGGTACATATATTATAACACATCAGATACATACTGTAATTACTAAGAGTAGGCAGTTGGTAGACTTTTTTGAATGAAATTGTCAATAAAAGTCATTAATGCTAAAAAAATATTTAAAATTATGTTGAAAGGAAATTTAGATCAGACTCTAATAATTGTTTGGAAGAAAAACTTTACAAATTTTCCTGTTTTATAGAAAACTTTTTTAAAACAAACATAAAAAGGTAATTTATTTTTAATATTTAACATATGCACACAATCTTTTTTATATAGCAAACATGAGATTATTGTAGCAATGGAAGAATTTCTGCTGCCTTTATTGTTCATTATCAAATGTGGTATATAGCAGTGTTCAATGAATTATGCCTAAGACGAAAATGATAAGAAAATATTGCATTAAGTTACAAATCTATAATGAATTTGAAATCTTTTACTTTCAATGATTAATAATTAAACAGCAAAACCTTCATGATCCCCCAAAAAAAAGGTCAAAAGAACGGTTTTTCCCTTTACACTGCTAATATTTTAACTACCTGCACTTCTTAGACAAGTGTATTCTTTTAAAAGGCAAGGATTAGAATGTCAGTAAAACCTAAATATATGAAAGTGAATTTATACATTTTCTTTGTGCTTAAGAATTGACAACAAAAATAATAAACAATATTTATTTTTTATATTGTTTATTTGAATGGTTGGCAAAATATTGGCTAATTACCAATGGATTTGCAATTTATAAAATGCTAAATAATAAGGATTTCCTTATAGTTGGTTCACATATTTTAAATAATTTAGTAAATGTTTATACATTTATGAATAAAAAATAGTTTTCATATTTATTTCTTTATAAATTGGTAAATGATAAATATTGCATTGCATTAGTTTTTAGAACGTTGTAAATATAAAATTGTTTTTGTAAATAAACAATCTAATAAATAGTGCTTAATTATTTTTGTTGTAAATTATCAAGAACAAAAAAAAGTATAAATTGACTTTCATCATATGTTTTAGTTTTATTACATCACTTTTTAAAACAATAAAGATTGCCAAAGAGTGAAGGTAGTTCAACTAATAGCAGTATCAAGAGAAAACTGTCCTTTTGAAAATAATTTTGGGATAACTAATATAATGGTGAATTGTGAAGTGAACTTTTTGCCAGCAGTTTCTTCCTCTAATGATGATTCCAGATCTAATCAAAAGCTGTGGTTCTGGAGAGGTTCATTAGGATAACGAAAAATGCCTTCCGAAAGCTAAGCAAAATATTGAGAAACAGGAACATTTTGTTAGAAAATAGTACTGAACTGTTACATAATATTGGCCCTCCTCTATGGCAGTGAATGTTAGACATGAATGTTATTTCCTTACAGATAAAGAAGAGACTTGAAGAAACAGAAATGTGGTTTCATAAAAGAAAAGGATTCTGAGAATACCATGAACTGAACATGTGAGCAACAACAAAGATTTTGAGAGAAAATGGAAACAAAAAGGAGACATACTTTACATCAGAAAGAGGCAGTTGAAATTGGTAGAGAATATAATAAGGAAAGAGAGCTTGGAAAATTTGATACTCACTGGACAGGTTAAAGGTAAGAGAGATAGAGGAAAACAATGAATAACCTTTCTAGTGAGCTTAAGTAAATGGATGGTAGAACAGGGTTTAGTAGAGATAACAAAAAGACAACATTTATTAAGAGCTACAAAGAACAGAAAATTGTGGAGAGCCATAATTGCCAACATCCTGACTGGACATGTCACATAGGAAAATCTTAAGACATTATTGATAGATAAACACTTTCACTGAATACCACTCATTGATGAAACACTTAACACAAGTATGTTACAACATATTTATCAGATTTGCATCCGCCATTGGAAAAAATATTGTCTGATCAGACTTTAATTGTGACTCTTCAAAAGGTTTACTTTTTTCTTCAATATTTGTTGTAAGAGGACCCAATAAATCTTGTGGCATCTTGTATACCACAGAATGTTCATTTGCTTCTCCAGCATCTGTTGGTAGAAACTGCGATAAGTCTACTTGTTTTTTGG